CTCGGAGAAGGCCTTGTTTCTGGCTGTTCCATGAGCAACTCATTCCTAGTTTCTCATGCATGGGTTTCTCAGAAACATCCTTCCTCATTAGGAAGGCTCATCAACTGAATATAGCGACAGGCACACAGTGGACACTAAAGAAATATCCACCAAGGGCACCAACCGAGCTTCCTCCTTATGGGAACAAACCTATATCTAACCAGATAGAGGCCAAGTAGTGTAAATACAAGAAACCCTCACTGCCCAGCCTGATAACTTCCCCTTAATCATGGAAAGAGAAAATCTTGTGCACCTTGGCGAGTTGGGCCCTGAACTTTCTGCTGCTGTTCCTCTTCTGTCTCTTGCTGGTGAAGCAGCACCAGCACTTCCTATAATACTGTGCCATGCGTATGTAATATATTAATACTTGACTTTGTTGAGCTGCAGAGGTGTCTTCTCCCAGGGGAAGAAGCTCTGCTCTAAATCTTGGTCAGAGCTGAGGTATTCCCCTTACCTTTTCCCTCTGTTTCAGTCTTTTCTTCCAGGCATGAGGAATGAGAGTAACCTATGGTGTGTCCATTCGTCCTTTTAAAGATTTCATAAGTGTTATTATAAGAGATGTAAGAGCAGTTTTGAGACAGCATTTTGGAGGGAAGCTGTCAGCTTTTGGGGGAATGGGCAGTTAAAGAAGGCCAATGTCATTAGTAGGACAGTCCCAGAGCTTAGGGGTAGAAAGGAAGATGGCTAACTCTGGCATTAAATAGAAATGCCTATACCAGTTTGGGAGTAGGGGAACCAGGTGAAGGACGGTAATACATCCAAGTCTTGGATCATCATTCCTATCAAGATTAGTGTACACAGAGGAGGGGGAGTGGCATGGGGGAAGGGGAGACTGGGAGGTCAGAGCTGAGCACTCGTGCCCAAGGGGGAGGGACCCCAGTAGATCTGGACTGACCCTTCTACACTCTTGGTCCCAGTTGGTCTGTGCTGCTTTGCCACTGCTGCTGTCTATTCACTGTCCTGCTTGCTGCCCTTGATAGCTCTCTGTCTTTCTGTGTCTTTGGCCATATAGGTGAAATCCAGGCATCCTGTCCATCCTTACACGTGCAAGGGTTACTTTATAACAAAGTCATCTTGAGTAGGGATAGTATGAAATGCTGCTGGTGGGCTGGTGAATCCAAAGGGATATGGCTTCAGTGCTTGTTGGGAGCCCTTTGGCTCCAAATATCTGACTCTCTTGAGGGAGAGACAAGCAGGTCCTATAAGTGGGTGTTTTCTTTGTATTAACTGCTTTCCTTTATGATATCTTGTGTCCTGTTTTAAAAATTAAATGATGGGGAACCAGATTAGGGCCTGTGTCAGCATCCCAGGGAGGTTCATCTGGCTCCAGTTAAATGGATTCTGGGGTTGGGGGAGCGTTTGAAGTTTGAAATAGACCCTCAGGTGGGGTTTAGTTTTATTTTTACCACTGGGCGCCATAGAAGATGCACAGGGTGGTGGTATGATTTAAACCTGCAACAAGCAGGCATGTTGAAGAGTTGAGTGATCACACTGGAGATAAAGGGTGGACGTGGGTTCACTGGGCAAGGGCTTGGGTCCATTGGAGTAAAGATAACCAGATTGGTTGAATTGGCCATGGGAGATTAAGTCACAGTCTTAAAAACAAAGCAAATAGGGCAGAGGCCAAGTTTTAGGGAGATTTCTTGGCCTCCTAGGGCTAAGTTTACTAAACCACACTGAAGCTACAATACTTTCCAGATGGGAAAAAGTGTACACTACAGTTGAAGAGCTGAACCGTGTTAGGTTGGATGTTGACCAGGAACCTGTTAGCCCTTTGCCGGGAAGCCTTCACCCTCCAGCATCCCTGGGAGAGGGAAGGCCTCCCACATTATGCAATAATAAAATAAGCATCTGGGTCCTTGCAGCTGTCAGTTGCTCTTTCAACTCTAGGATCCATCTTTGGGCCAGAATCCTGGTCTGGGCCTAGGATGACACTGGCCCTTGAGATGCTAGAGTTGACTGCACTCTCTCCTTACCTGCAGACTATGCACAGTGCCTGGGGCGGAAGGAGGAGAGGTGGTGCGGTTTACCCTGCTGAGCCTCCCCAGCAGGAACAGTAGTAATAAATGCACTTTTCACACTAAGGTTTCTTTATTCGTTCTCCTGTTAAGCCTAGATCCTCCCCTGGTAGACTGCAAATTCAAAGTCTGTGTGATCCCCAAGCCATTCTGCTGCAAATGCCCAGCAGTGAAGATGGCCTCAAACTGGGTTCCTGTCTGCAGTGTGTGTGGCGGCAGCCCATGTGCCTTTACCTATTGTCAAACTTTCAAGCATTTATTTCTGTCTTTATGACTGTCATGGGGACTGAGGTTCTTCAGAGAGAGAGAGAGCGAGAGCGCGCGAGTGTGAACAAGCTGATGACACAGTGGTTTTACACCCACTCCCCAGACAGGGAGTATGCACATAGTTGTGAGCTGTGAGTGGTTAGTGCATTGCTGATGTTGCTGAAGGCAGGGTTCATCCCTCATTTGCGTGACACTCGCATTCAGGAGAAGCTTGTGTCGGGGAAGAGACTCGTGGCAAACTTGAAGTATTAAAAATAAGGCTGTCCCCTACAACCTTCCTAGTCACACACAGGATCCCTGTAGCCAAAACAGTATATGTTCCAGCTGCAGAGAGCAGACTGCTCTCAGCTTGCACAGCACCTTAGGGGAGGGAAGAATATATGGATAGGGAATGGGGTGGAGAAAGGATGGAAATGTTGTCATCCAGGTGGCTTTAGGGTCCTCAGGAGTAGTAGAGAAGGACGGCACTGGGGAGGTCTGATGGATGGATCTGATTTGTGTAGGAGTTCCCTGTAGATAAATTACTGATCCCCCAACTACTATCCCCAGTATGTAATGGCTAAATTAATATGTAATCAACTGCATTGTATCTAAAGCCTTAGAACTAGTCAGGTGCTCCCCCCACCCGATACCATTTGTTACCCTCTAATCCTACCTGATCTTTAACAAAGCATTAATAATTCTAAGGATAATCTCTATTTTGTTGTGCTTTTTTGTAACTGTTTTAAATAAATCAATTTGTACTGTATATTTGTACTTTTGTGAGATCCTTTTTGCTGTTTTACCATTTTAAGTCTCTGTACTTGGCTACACACAGATTGTATTTTTATTGTTAATGCTCTTCTTATGGATACCTGCATTTAACTTGTGGACTATGTAAACACAATATATATCAATATCTATATATCTATATATCTATCTATATAAACTACTAGCTTTTCCTTTTGGTGTTTGCGCCTTCTTCGTATCCCAGCCTTAGATGGTGGCCATGGGGTGGGGGATAGAAGGCCTATGCGGCAGAGCTTGAAATAGAGAGCAAATGGTGCCCATCTTCATGTGGTGGGCTGGGGGCAGATTGCACGAGCTAGTCCTGAAGCATGGTCTGTGTGTTCTGTTGTGTGTGTTTCAGGGACCCAGAAATCTACCTGTAGACTCAGATACTGTTCTAGCACAATCAGTCACAAGGACCTGTAGATGCCCTCACTGCTGGCCTTTTCTCCAATTCTTTTCTCAGGAATACTGCCAGAAATTTCTGGAATAAGTCAGCTCCAGAACTTAGCTTGCCACTAGTAAGAGGTGAAGCACTCAGATACATGATAGTTACTCATACATTTATTGAGCACTTGCTACATGCCACAAAATAGCCTAGGTGCATTATATATTAATAACCATTTGTTGCTAGTACTATTATTTTCACTTTGTGGGTGGGGAAACCAAGAGGTTTAAGTAACTTACCCAAAGTTACACAGCTATTAATTAGCAGTACAGAATGTTAAATCCAGGCACCTAATTCCTGAGTTTGCGTTAACTCACAGTTCGTTGTAAAAATTAAATGAGATAATCCACGAAAGTGCTCAGAACAATCTTTGACACATAATGAGTGCTCAACCATTTTGAAACATCCCAAGTAGGACTTCCATGTGGGGCTCTGTGAGAAAAAGCCATTTGGCTCAATTAAATATTTTCTTTTAAATGTCCAGTATTTTGTAATAAGCTTATTAATATTTTTGTATTTTTCAAGACAAATATTTCGGCCTGCCTGGTGGGAATTAACCCTGGTTTGGTGGGGGGTCAGTTAACACTCTTAAATAGCCTTGAACCTGTGGAGGTCAGAGAGGAGTCCAAGTTTCCTTGTTACGACATTGGAAGAGGTCCACATTCCTGGCATAGTTATTTTTCTGGCTACAACTTAACTAGGGCACTTCCTTCTGGACTTCAAGATCTGTAATTATCTAAACTGTATACAACCTTTGGTGCAGGCTAAGGAAAGTTCTGTGCTTGTTGTGTACCATCACAGAACCTTTTTAGAAATGACCTCAGCTCGTCTCCTCCATGGTTTGGCAGCCATACAAACTGCCAGAGTCGTCATTTTGCTCTGGCCTTGACCGCTACTGACCTGAGCTCTCATGGCACCTTAATTCTGGATTTTCCTCAATTATCCTACCTTGGCTCTGAGGAATAAATAAAAAGATGGGTTTTTACCTCTTCTCTCAAACATGAGTTCCTCGGCACTATGAACCTTAATATTGCAGCTATTTCTATGAATGTATTCCTGAATGCAACTGAGTGCTGTCTAGGGTAGAATTTTTAAAAGTTTGGCAGACTGGGAAAAGTAGCTGGTACCTGGTCTAAATACGTCATCCTCTTCAGAAATGCCAGTTATGAGGAAAGGCGTCTACTTCTGAGTTTGGAAAAGGAAGCTGGGTTGAAATAGCTCTTGGGACCACAGGTGATCTTCATTAGTGTTGTGGGCATGCACCCTCACAAAGTCAGCATCGGTTCTTCCTTAATGTCATTAACTTGTGAAGGGCCAGATAAGGGATCTCTGCTGGGAGTGCCTTTGTTGAGGAGCACCCTCCCTCGGAAAAAGACAATGGCTAGATGTCCTGCCTGAAAACTTCCATCCACGTCTCTCCTAGATTTGCTAGAATGAAATCGAGAGAAAAGCAGGAAAGGGCCAGTAAAGATAAAATTAATTTATTAGCCCTCACAACTCCGTGGGGTGGGTGTGGGCCACACTAGGGCCCCAGAGTCCTATGCTCATGCCCTGCAGCAGTGGGCTGGGGAGTCAAGGTGTCTGGAGTGCCTGCTCCCTCATCCAGAGCTGCCTTGAGCTGGGTCCCTCCTGACCCCATCATCCTGCTCCCATATGCAAGGGGTACACAGGTCCACCTGCAACAAACTCGGGCCTGCCTCCAGCAGCAAGGACAGGACCCTGGGGACGGCTGAGTGGGAAGGCAGGCAGGAGGGTGTGGTTCAGTGCAGAGAGCTGCTGTTCTGCTCTTCAAAGGCCATCTTGCCCAGGAGCTGGCTGTCCAACTCCACCCCACTCACAGGTAGCTGGAAGAAGTTCATTTCGGCTGCTAAGGCTGCCATGGCAGAAGGGTCCTGGCCAAACTGAGCTCGCAACATCATGTCCATTTTCTCCAGCCTCCTCTTGAGCCGCTTGGCCTCCCGCTCCCGGATGAGCCGGGCCTGCCGCTTCTCCGGGGTTTCATTGGCCCGCTTCAGCCTCATGGCCTCCCGATCTCGCTGCAGCCGGCGTGCCCGCTGCTCGTCTGTCTCCTGCATGCGCTGCAGGCGCTTGGCTTCTCGGTCCCTCATGCGCCTTACCTCCCGCTCCTCGGGGGTCTCATTGTCCCGCCGGCTCTTCTTGGCTGTGCGCTCTCGTTCCAGCCGCTGCAGCCGGACTTCCAAAGGCTCGTTCTGTCGACGCAGGGCCCACTTGCGTACACTGGGGGTCTGGGCTTCTAGCAGTTTCCGGTAGGCAGCACAGTTGTTGCACACAAGCAGAATTCCAGCAGGGTACACTGGAGGACTAAAGGCAATGTCCTTCCCCTCAGCACTGGAGGGGCCCTCACTGTGGGCTGGTGGTAGGGATTCCATATTAAGGACTTCAGGAAGTTTCTCACTGGAAAGCAAAAAGTTTAGATGGTTAATGCCACGGTCTAACAAGGCTCAGGTATCCAGCCCTGACTTACTCTGTCCTACCAGGCCAGTTGCTCCAAGTTCACCACTAGGGGTCAGTATGAGTGCTTGGGAGACCTCCTCTACCTTTCCACCCTTGCCCTTCTTTGGGCTAGGTTGTCTACCAAGTCTTAAAGCCCACCTGGAGTTAGGGGCTGAGCCAACCACCACAGCAAGCCACCAGAAACCAGATAAGCCCTTACAATGTGCAGTTCCATTCAAGCCGGACTGATGGTGTTTGTAGGAACTGTGCAGGGCAGTCCTCCTTGAGGCGGAGGCTGCCTTCAGGCGAGGTCCAGTCCACTGGCTCCACCTCCCCCCAGCCAACCCTGCATTGTACACTAGCAAATGGGACTCAGACACAATTTACACAGTTCCAGTCTTCCTGGGACACAGTGGAGACTCTGTCCTCACATTAGGGTCCTCTCAGCACCCTGTAACTTCTTTCTCATGAATGGTCTCGGTCTTCCCCACATCTCTTTCTAGTTGAAGATATTCTGATCGAGGAAAGAAATAAGAATTCATTTCCCTTTGAGGATGTCTAATGGAATGGACATATTTACTAGCCTCATTACTTGTATTTACAAAGAGTCAAGAGTCAGTTCCCTTTGCATTGCCCATCTCTAACCTTCACTTCGACTTGGGAAAGCAGAACCCACACCCAGTAATTTGTTCCCAGCACAGAGGGTCAGTTGCCCGGCTAACCTGTTAAACGTGGCATGGCTAGTAAAACGGGCTCCACACACAGCACAGTTAGACCGCTGGTCCTCCGAGTGGATTAAGAGGTGGCGACCCAATGACCCGGGGGAGCTAAGGGCCCGGCCACAGACAGGACACATGTAGCTCTTGGCGCTCACCACTGCTGCAGTGTGCTGTAAAAGAGAGCCTTAATCTGTCAACTCACACCAGCTCCAGGACAATCTGTACCCACTTAGGAACTACTTTCTGGGAAACGTCCCCTTTCCTTAGTGTTAGAACAAGGACTTGCAACTATTCTCCCTATCTAGCACCTGGAAAAGTAAGAGTCTCTTGTGTTAAAGGGCCTTCAGAAGGGCAAGGCCATCCAGACCATCACTCAGATTTCATTAGTTTGAGTTCTGACTACGTACTGGGACATGTGGCTGGCTTGGGGGACAACGGGACTCCATAGCCTGAGAAGAATTGCTCAGGATAATTTCTCACGGCCTGCTTGCCACATGCTGTGTAGGTACAAGTGCATTTTTTTGTGTGTGTGTGCGGCACACGGGCCTCTCACTGTTGTGGCCTCTCCCATTGCGGAGCACAGGCTCCGGACACGCAGGCTCAGCGTCCATGGCTCACGGGCCCAGCCGCTCCGCGGCATGTGGGATCTTCCCGGACTGGGGCACGAACCCGCGTCCCCTGCATCGGCAGGCAGACTCTCAACCACTGCGCCACCAGGGAAGCCCACAAGTGCATTTTAAAGGAGCACTGAAGGTCAAGTCTAGAAGCTGGATGGAAAGACTGATATCCAAAAGGTGTTTAAATGCACTGCCTTTTCTTCAGTCTTTTAAAATCAGTCTCCTGAAGAAATGCTTCTCCTCATGAACCAATTATTTTTATGGTAAAACTCAGGCTGCCATGTGTGCTGATGCCTGTTCAATACAGAGCGTAAGGCACATGTTCTGCGACTGGATCAGGAAAAAAAAGGAAACAAAAGTTTGTCTAGTTCTGATCCCCTGGTTTACACTATCTTTCTCCAATACTTCAGAAACACCTATGTTAACTCATTTTTTCTTCTTTAAAACAAAGCCCAGTTTCTATTTCACTGTTTTAAATATGTCTTAAGTAATTTAGAAAAAAAATGATACTTAATTTTCACAGTGTGTCTGCCTGGGAACCCAGAACATATTCACTCAACATATCCCACTTATTCTCTACAATTTTCTGAGGATTGGAGTGGAGTCTTGGTGGAAGCAACAACCCAAGGTTCTTTCCGGGGTTGGAGGCAAAGGCTACACAAGTTGTTGGCGCCCGTATTCTGGAGCATGCGGCTCCGCACGCCATACCTGGTACACATGCGCAATTAGCTGCCCCCGACTCCCACAGTCCAGCTGGCAGAGGGGACACTGGCAGAGTCCAAGTAAGGGGTCGGAATTCAAATTCTCCGTGACCTGCAATTTAACAAGTAGGCAATTCATGAACACAGTTTACCAGTCTCTTCCCTGCCCCTACTTCTTTTAAAAGGGTATCCTGTTAAAAGGAACACAACCTCTTATCATATGTTATTATTAGGTTCCCATTGTGGGTCAAAGGAAAAAGTGATAGGGGAAAGGGAATTAAATTTGCTCCCATCTTCATTTTCTCCAAGGCTTCCTGCCATGAAGACATAGTATTACTCCAGAGAGAGCTTATCTATTTTTTTTTCCCCTAAGGTAAACTCTGTAGAGAAGATCAGTTTTCCCTACTGCCATGCCTCTTGCAGGAATCCTTAGGAAACAGTTTAGTGAAAAGATGGCACCTCAGTTAATACTTTGACTGAAATTTGCAAGCATATTCAAGTGTACACCTGAGGAAGTCAACTAATAGTTTTGCAAAGACGGATGTTCTGCTGGGAAGAAGTGGGGAGCTTTAGGAAGAAGAGCTGTGTGGGAGTGAAGTGATACGTGGGTGGAAAAGGAAAGCTGGGTGTGAAGAGAACTGTGTGTCTGAGGTTTGGGTAACTCATGTTGGGAAGGAAGACAGGCTTCATATGAAGCCCAGGAGACCCTCAGAGGCAAGAGTGTTACATGTGGAAGAGAGGCATCTTGGGCAGAGTAGAAGGGTAAGGAGGTTCCCGGACTCAGGAGCCATTTGTCACTTGCCTCATGCTCTACCACACTGTTCCCACCAACAGGCTGTTCTGCATTTTCTAACTCTTTTTCCACTTTGACCACCCCTCCGTCTTCCTCTGATGTATGGGAAGAGACTTCATCTTGTGTGGTCTCCTCTTCATCACCCTCACTGTCACCTGGAACACACAAACTGGTCACTTCTTCTGATTTTTGCATGAATACATTTTACGTTGCTTTCCACCCTAAAGTTTGCAGCTAAAATGGAAAACATTCTCAGATCTTCCATAATATAGTTTGTATCAGTGCTTATATGGGTACAAATCACGTTAAGTGGAAGCCAGCTATAATTGTTTATATTGCCATATACACACTAAAGAGAAAATCAGAGGCAAAACTGTATTGGAAAATGGTTATTAGGTCCTGTATATTATCATAAAAATGATAACTTCTTACACAGGGTTCCCAAATATCTCACACTTTCAAATCACACCTCCTATGCACCTCACACCATGCTCATTCCAACACACCACTTCTGACTTACCAATGCTTATCACTGATTTTATTACTTACTTTTCTCCATAACCTCCCTGCACAATTTCTCCATGGTGTCACATACACTATTCTATTCTGAGACCCACTAATCTGTTCTCTCCCAACAAACCCCAAGGCATGATTACAGAAACACCAACAAGTTTTTCTTTCCTCTTATCAATAAAGGAGGCAGTAGGAAATTAGGTAAAAATGTCACTTTATAGGGAAAAAGCTCAGTACAGTGGAAAAGTTAGCACAGCAACCAACCTCGGGCATTCTGTCGTGGTATTTGACTCACAGCGTTCTTACCCTGCTAGTAACTCAGCATTCTACGTTAAATAAGTCCATTGTTTCTGTTGGTTCTTTGGATTATCTGATGGATTATTGAATGCATCAAGTGGAGGGAACAGGACATTCTTTACTTTAGGATGAAATATAATTTCTCGTGGCTAAAGAAAGAATTGATTTGTTTTAGTTCAGGGTGCAAGATGTGGCCATGCAGAGGTCTGCCTGTGGCTAGGGGATCTGCAAGGTTTGTGTGTGCTGATTTCTTTCCTCTATTACTTATAAAATTGGAAAAGAAATGATTTTTAAAAAACACAATAACATAGGGAGTTCTTTCTGAAAGGAAAAAAAAGTGCTAGTACTTTGAAGATCACAAGAGGAAGCCAAACCTAGGGAAGCTGTCAGACTCCAGTCCCATTCTAACACCACCTAGATCCTGGACTCCTGGGCCTGACTGTCAGCAAGAGAAATACAGGATAGAGTTTCACCAGGCTCTCAGCATCAGCAGTGAGACTCAGCTTTCCTAGCTAACAGTGTGCTTCTTATCTTCTCTCTACTATCCCTCACATAATTTCTAAATCTACCAAGAACTGGGCAAAACTGGTTACATTCCCTTTCTTCAAAAGAAAATCTAACCAAATCATCTGCTAGTAGATACATGTGTCTCTGTTAGATACTTCACTTGGTTGGTGGACTGGATTTGGGCCCTGGAAAGATCTACAGTATGCCTTATTCCTTGGTCCAAAGCTTTAGTGTGAATCGATCTCAGTAATAAGGGTTGGCACAGATTAAATCATACTATATTTTCTCACCAGCTTATTTGGAATACTTGTAGTCTAAGACAACACTGTATCAAACACTTTTTGTAATTCATCAAAAATCCAAATATATCTCTCTACTAGAAAGGTTAAAAAAAGAATAAGTATGCCATGCAGAGGGATGATGCAACTTTTCCAGAATGGAAACCTATCAGACTTCTATAGATATTGCCATTCCTACCTATTACTCAAACTGGTGGCTCCCACAGATTTTCTAGAAATATTTGGTTCACTTTTCTGTACCTGAGCAATTACTTGCTAAATTATTATTTTTATTGCTAGAGTATTAGTTTAAATAGAAAATGTAGTTCCTGGAAGGTACAGAACTCTCTGCCTCTTCTTTCTTTTACAACCCCGAACATGGAGAAAAATCAGAAATGTCAATATGAATTGACACTAATAATAACCAATATCAGATGGATCAGATGTGGAAATCATCCTAGGAAATAACACATCTCAAAGTGTATTTGTTCAAGCAAGTCACAGAACAGACAATCCATGAGGCTCAACCAGTTACCAGCCACTGTCTTTTCAATCTCTTAAGCAAAGGGATCTACTCAGGACTTGGTGTGGGAAGACCTCGACATTAGCATTTTACATGCTGCATAATCTCACTGGTAAGCAAGTCCTCTTATAAAACATTAAAACTGGGTCCTCAAGCAAAACTTTCGTTAATACCACTCTTATATTTTATTAATTATGAATAAACAGATCCTAAGAGACAGGGATTTTTTTCTTTTCATTTGACCTAGCCCAGGGGCTGCTTGAGCACTCATTATTCCTATGCCCCTGTCTATCACAGTCATCACAAATCTATCTGTGTATGGCACTATGCCAAGTACTGCAGTCCTTGAGTTAAAAAAACCTGTTCTCTCTCTGGACAAACATATGCCCATACACCTTAGAACACCTTTGGGAACACTGAGGATCCACAAATCTCCTACTTCATGTCTTCCTCCCAACCCCCATGCATAATCCCCAGAGCACACACACTCTGATAATTCTTCTCCCATTGCCCTGAGTCATTACCAGAAGGTGCAGAACTCACTGCTACTGGAGTCCTGATCTCTTAGTTGTTGGATAGCTTGTCGCTGACTGCCAAGGTCTCCAGGAAAATCAGTTTTCATCATCGCCTGGCGGGCTTGCTCTTCTAGCCCAGCAAATACTTGATCCCCTGGTGGTCACAAGGAAAAATAGTCAGGCCACCAGCTGGGCAGTACATCCCCAGGCAAGCTGGTTGGAAAGTCAGACCATTCAAAGGTAGGAGACAGGCAGGTACCCTGTGGTGGGGTCATTCATCTCCAAGTCAGCTTGTTGCCTCCAGTGGTTTCCGGGGACAGCTACTCTTCTTGGGCAACAAGCCAGATGCTCTAGAAAGCATCATTTGCTTCTCTTAAATCCTCCTAATATTGACTCCTTTTAAAGGTGATCAATTGCTACTTTACCAATTTAACATCAAAATCTCAATTCTATTTATAACCTTCCATCAGGACTGGGGAGACAGAGGCAAGTGGCAAAGTGATGGAACGAAGATGGGGCAAAAAATCTGGGCACAATCTCTGAATCTCAATGTATTAGCAATATGGTCCTGATTCTGTCTGCCTCTGACTATAAACAAGTGCTTCAAATAATCCAACTGAAACAGTATCTATGACCCCATCTTTCATCCATTCTCCTTACAAGACGTACTCTAGAAGTTCTTCCTTTACTCTCTCACATCTATTAGAATTAGCCACGAGCAAATAAAAAATAATGGATTAAAAGGAAAACAGATAATATGTGAACCCATTTCTGCTGAGGAACAAACTTCCTGAAACATGCCAACCAATTTGCAACAGGTAATATTTCATCTAGTCTCCTTGGTTTAGTGTGGTCTTTTTTTTTTTTCTTCTTTGTATGCAGTATCCAAAAGCCCCGGACCCATCCTTGATTATGCATTTACTGTGAGGAACTCTGCCTGGGATCTGTGTGGTTATTGAAGAGTTAACATTTAAGTGCTCTTTTATTTCCAAGAGGCCAGGCATAAGGAGAAAAGAGAATTGGGTTTCTTGAGGTTTCCATTATCTCAGTCAGAGTGGAAACTACAGTCCCCATTCTCCAGCCACCAAGAGAGAATAATAAAAAGCCCTAGTGAAATGTCTGACAATAGACCAGGCGCTTTCTTAATGAAGAGAGAGAGGAAATTAAACAGGCTCAGGTTCCGAGGCTGATACAATGATGTAGGAGGAATGAACTGGTCAGTTGACCTGTACAACTAGTCCTTGGGCAGTGAAAGAACTGATGTGAAGTAGGCTTCATGTGATTCATTTAGGTATCTGTTCAGCAAATATTCATTGAACATCTACTATATGCTAAATGCCAAATGCTAATAATAGTGATTATTTGGCACTTCCTAGTTCCAGGCTGTACGTTAAGTGCATTATAGTTGCTACCTCACCTTAATTCTCTGCAAAACTCTATGTGGTAGGTATTACTATCCATATTTTACTTAGAAGAAAACTAAGGTCTATGGTGGAACAAAGTATTCAGACCCCAGTCTGTCCAACCCTTAATTACCATATTTTTCAGTTGCTTTCTAGCAGAGTTGTAAACAGAATTTTAAGCGGTTCATTAGAGCAATTTTACTGAAAACAAACGCTTGTCTCTGTGTGACAAGAATAGCTCTGATCCTAGTGTGTTACCTTCCTACCATCAGAAACTGATATATACAACTCAAATACCAAAATAATGTTCTCAAGGCCAAGACTGACAGAAGGAACCATCATTTTTATGGTTCTGATTCCATGTGATGAGTTACCATGCCTGGGTTAGAGTAATATTATGGCTATTCTGACTGACACTATGAGTGGGAATACAGGTGCTAAGAGTCCAAGTGTACTTCTAGCCACTCAGCCCTCAAGTAAACGAAAAATAACCTGCTTTAAGTCCACTTTCATAATATTCAGGATGACACACTGGATATAAATTACCGCTAGGGAGAGCAAAATATGAATTCTGTGTTATAGCGCCTCCTCTTCCCTCTTTGCAGGAGTAAAATATTTAATTTCTCCACGTTGGTTCCTCTGTAACCACAAGACCATGGCTAACTGGAATAGTTACTGAATTCTTCTGGGTAAATGCATGTTTTTGGACCTGGTGGCTGTGGACAGATATGACACTAAGGAACAAGTTATGTACCAGCATATAATCATCAAGGGCAGACAATTCTCATCAATGACATCTCTAAAGAAACCTATCCAGAAACCAGCTAGGTTTATAACATACTAAGAATCTACACTTCCCCCCCTTTCTTTTTTTTTTTTTAATTTATTTATTTTATTTTTGGCTGGGTTGGGTCTTCATTGCTGTGCGCGGGCTTTCTCTAGTTGTGGCGAGGGGGGCTACTCTTCATTGCGGTGCGCGTGCTTCTCATTGTGGTAGCTTCTCTTGTTGCAGAGCATGGGCTCTAGGCGCACGGGCTTCAGTAGTTGTGGCTCGCGGGTTCTACAGCACAGGCTCAGTAGTTGTGGCACTCGGGTTTCAGTAGTTGTGGTGCATGGGCTTAGTTTGCTCCGCGGCAGGTGGGATCTTCCCAGACCAGGGATCAAACCCGTGTCCCCTGCACTGGCAGGTGGATTCTTAACCACTGTGCCACCAGGGAAGTCCCCCCCACTTTCTTAATGGGGAATCACCACTGAATTAGAAGGACATCTATAAAGATATGTAATTTTCAAGATCAGCTAGTAATTCAGTCTAGTCTCCATCAAACTTGAGCTAAAAATTTATTCCTATTGAAGCTGTCTAAATATTTCAGCCTTCACAGAACAGAGAAGAGTCTGTTCAATACAGCTGCCCTATCTAGGACTTTTGGGAGCATTCTCACCTAGGATAGTTGGGCTATTCCTTTTATGGCAGTTTGGAAAGGAAAGCTATGCTCTTCTATTTTATTCCATTCCTGACTTGGGAAAAAGGCTAAGGTAAACTTTACTCCTTAGGGCTATTCTTATTTAAATACCAACATAAAGCAAAATATATAAAAACCATAAAGAGGGATTCTGGCAGACCTCACAGAAAAAGATATGTGAATGATCTCCCAGTAGTCACTATTCACCTAATCCCTAAATCTAACTGTCCAGAATTATCCTTTCATAAGAAGGTAGTGATAATTGCTAAAAGTATGTCATATTAACTCAAGTATAATGTGATCCATAGAGATACTAGTGATTAAGAAGTGTTATACAGTTGCCTGCTTTTACAATGTAGCAGTATTATTTCCTTCTATCTTGAGACTGTTGGAGTAGGTTAAAAAAAATCCTCTGTCTTCTAGATATTAATGTAGGGCAACCATCTTCTTTAACATGGTATTTACTTGTCTATTAATAGTTGAGAAAAAGTCATCTAAGTTCAACAGTAAAAAGCAAGGTACTACCTCTCCTTTTTGTGGTATGAAATCAAGATACTGTTGGTCTGATTTGGCTAAGGTTTTTTAGACCAGATAAGAACAAAGCCATGCAAACAAGCCTGTAGAACAGATGAGAAGCCTGAGATGAAAGTTACTGGAAGACAAAGATTTTACAATTCTCTTTCTTGAGTCTTTGGTGCAGTTAAATAAATGCAATGTCTGGCTGACTTAAATTAAGTAAAGCAGCTGAGACATATTCTAAGAGAGCAGATGCCTAATTCAGAATAAAATGAGCTAGAACTGGGAGTGAGGCACTTAGGATTCCTTTTCTAGCTGACAGTCTCCGTAATCCGAGGTGCTATCACATATTGGGAACAGAACCATTTACCTCACAAGGATGCTAACAATGAATGAAGACAAAACAAACTGCACTTTTTAGAAGAGAAGGGACTTTAAAGGCTTCTTTTTCCTACTTCTCTGTAAAAGCTGAAAACTTTAATTGAAGTTGAAAGTTTTTAGTCTCATATATAATCTGAAAACAAAAGTCTCTTAAGAAACGGAAGTTTTCCTTTACTTAGTGGTTTGCTTGGTACAAAAGCACCAAATGAGAGTGTGCAAAGGATTGTATTTTCAACCTCTCTAGAAACAGTTACAGAAATCTGTATTCAGAAGGGGGTGAGATGAGGAAGGAGGGAGGGAAGAGGTCTACAGAGATTTCAACCCATATGCAGTTCCTCTGTGACTAAACAATTCTGGACTTTTATTCCAAAAGCTCTGCATCAAGTCTGTTAAGGAACTGGGCAAAACACAAGAGTCTGCCTGGACGTTTCTGGGTAAAGGAGAGATCATGACGGTAATTTAGATACAGAGACAATCCTGAGGAAAGCCAAGTATATGCCAGAGCAGCCTGCCCATTGACTTCTAAAGTGGATCTGACAGATGCTGCCAGGCTACAGCAATGGGATTCTTAATATATTCTTTTAGTAGGGCTTCTTAATATATTCTTTTAGGAGCTGCCTGCTACACAATCCTCTTGTTCCCAGAAGGCAGATCTAATGGAGCTCAGCCATTACTCTGCTCAAATGCCATTGGCTTTGACATTTAAGCAAAGCTTCTGCAGACCTTCCTGCCTCCCAGACCTTGAGTTCATTCTGTTTACTTTAAATAGATGAGCAGCATTAAATTCAATACATTTGATTGGTTCTATTTCACTGCAAGGGGTTAGGAGACGCACGTGGTCAGAAGACTGAAATTACCTATTTCTACTTGGCATTATTGTGGGCAATGAGAAGATGACCTTTCAAAAAATGTAGGACCAGCTTCAGTCCCCAAATAGTAAATAAGTAGAAGGTCCTCAGAGACCAGCAAATCTCAGTGTCTTTCTTCTTTCTTAGTCCATCATGTGAGATGCCTTCACATTTCCCTGCCCAAATGCATCACTGAAAATAGCCCCTCCCTGCGGGTCTGCTTTTTAGTTGCACCGAACATTTCTGTTCACAGCCCTCTTAATGGTCACCACTGCAAAGTCCCACCCGCTCCACCACAATACTACAAGCATCACTAGCTCAACTCTAGAAACTGCATTTCTGCAGCTGCGGATATGATATTCCCTCCTTCTCTGTGGTCTGTTTGTCCATCTGTTTTCCAACTCCAGTACCAGCTCATCTTGGCTTTGACTGATTACGGTGGGAGGAGATGCAGCTATCGACTTATGCTATGTGGGCGCAGGCACTGGCCACACAAGCATTTACTGGCTTCCCTGTACCTACCTGATCATACTATCATCCCCACCAGCTACTTTTCTCAGTCTCTTTGGACAGGTGGCTTTTAGAGGTAAATGCCCAACTCCAGTGATTGCCTTATTTGTGAACCCATCACTCTACTAAGAGTTCCTTTCCTGCCCTGCCTTCTTGGGGTCACATCTGTGTCTCTTCTCAATATCCACCTTCAACCAGAGAGGAGAAGACAATCCTTCTGAACCTCTGTGTTGTATTACCTATGGTAGAGATACTTCATTTTATCTCTCTTGAAAATCGTCACATTCAGGCCCACTAAATTTCACTGTTTTAGCAGCAGTTTCTAAATCCTTCCTGAACCACTCACCTTTATATTAGGCAGCCTTCCATATCCACCTACTCCAGAATACACTCCTAGAAGTATCCAACTTGCGCTGTCTTATAGAACTTTTCTAGGACTTGAAGAATTAATTGTATATGAAAGTTTGCTACCCTAATCTCATTTAATCTACAAAATGCTGAAGTCCTCTTAATTCCTCTGAACCTACTGTTTTCTCTCCTACTTTTGAAATTACCCAATAAAATAAAATAAGGTACATACTGTCTGGCATATGGTATGTTTTTAATAAATTTTAGTCCTCTTATATTAACTCCATGACTGATCTATCCTCTCAAATGTAGGTTTTTTTCCTTAAAAAAAACAAAAAACTTTCATATGTTATACCACTGAATTCCCTTCAAATGTTGCTGTAGTCAGTCCTCCATAAAAACACGGAGCTATTTGTCTCTTTTTTACATTTGAATGAGGATGCTTATCTCCCCAGATCATAGGAAACTGGTTAATTGTCTCAAATCTACATAGATATATTAGTGTTAATTTAATAAGGCACTTTTGAAAACCCACTATGAGCAGTGCTAGAAGTAGAGAGGGATAGCAGGAATTATATATGGGACATACTGTCTGCCCTCCAGAAATTTACAATCCAATTACTAAAATAAAACGTATATATGAACCTGCTGAGAAATAATGCAAGGCAATAGTGCATAGCTGGTTCTTGTTACCAGTCTCTTCTTCATGTGATCCAGCCCACACACTGTTTTGTAGTCCCAAAACACTGTATTCTGAATGTCACTCCATTCTCCCTGCTTAAAAACCTTCAGTAGCTCCTTACAGTCAGGATGAAGTATGAACTTGGCCTGGCCTTCGGGCCTCTACAATGCAGAGTTAAATGTCTCCAACGCCATGTTCTATGGCTTCTGGACAAATGCAACTTCTGCTTCATACAAAGTCTCCTTGTCCCCTGAGCATACCACGTGCATTCCCTCTTTGTTTCTTTGCTTTCCCCTACCTGATTTTACCTCTCCTTTCCTCTTTTTTTAAAGAATCCACTTTCTACCTTCCAAGGTCCAGTTCAAGTTCATAGTCTAAGGCCTCTTCCATCAAGCATTCCCTGGCTATCTCAGTCCATGGAGCTCTCTCCCTCCTCTTTTTTTTTTTTTTGGCCTCAGGGCATGTGGGATTTTAGTTCCCCGACTATGGATCAAACCCATGGCTCGAATCCTTGGCCCCTGCAGTGGAAGTACAGTCTTACCCACTGGACCGCAAGGGAAGTTCCTCTCCCTCCTCTTAATTTCTGTAGTACACACAGTCTGCAGCATCCCTATTTGGCACTTAGCATATATTATCTTGCTATATGCCCATCTATCTATCTATATATCTGTGGCTACGTTATAGTCTTATATATCTTTATTTTGTTTTACGGCCTTGGCATCTAGCACAAGGCTTTGCACAGAGTAGGAATCCTATAAATGTTTGTTAATGTGAATACTAAGGATGAATCAAGAGCACCTATTCCTAAGACAGGTTTCTAAGACCTCCTCCAGCATAGAAACACTTTAAATCCATCATGTTTGACAACTTTAACCCTTTTTTCTTCACAAATTAGTGTGAGTCGATCACCTAAATTCAGATTACACTTCCTTTCCAACCCTCAGGGTTCTCAGGTTCCAGAATAAAAAGCCCAGTACTCACAGTGAACTTTATTTGGATTTGTCTGTTTCCGACGGGACATGTTTCCCTGATCCAAGAGCTCTGGCTTTTCCCAGTTTCACAACTGGATGTTACTACCTCCTTGCAAGGTGCTGACCTACAAAAAAAAGGATAATGTTAGCACATGTCATTTTGCTCATAAATTATACACAATTAAAAGATGAGAGACTTTTTAAAATAGTTTTTGAGTATATATAAAACTCACCAGTTATAAATCATTGAACTTCTTAAAGAAAGAAAGAAATGAATAAATCTCTAGCACACTTTAAGGTCCCAAGAAGTTTCAGAGAGAATTCCAAAGGATTTAGAGAATTCCACTCTAAATCCAACTCTGGAATCCATAATACTGTTAAGTGTTCATGATCAAGCTCAGAGGGTAGAAAAGGAAGCAAAAAAACTCAGGCAACCAGCGTTAGAAGCACCATACGCTCAAAGGGATAACCCTCATGAATTGTAAAAGGAAGCAAAGGAAGCTAAACAGGGTGGCAGCTCATATGTCACATGCCCTCTGGAAGTCAAGCCCTGCAATCTGCACCAATGAGAACCTCCAGATGTTTTTTTCAAGAAGTTATCTCTCCTAGAGGTGACGAAGGCACCACATCCCTGTGAGACAAGAAATATCTCAAAACTTCTGGGCATCTGTAAATGAAACATGGGAAATAGAGCCTCTACCTAGGGATGCAGGCACAGTGCTAGGCACTGTGGATGACAGGGCACTAAAGCAAATCAGACTTCCTGTTGAAGATGGGCTTTTACCAGAAGAGCCAGGTGCCATACACATTGTTGGGTACTAATTCAATACCTCAATGTGGAACGTCAACCTGACCCTGCTCACATGCTCCCGAGTGGTGGTCAAAGTTAATAACTTTAGTGCCTCTTCTCAATCCAGCCTCTTGTAGCAAAGAGTGGGAAGAACAAAGAGAAAAGGTCCCCAAATGAGAAGTGCTGCAGAGACATGCACCTGCTTCCCTGAAATAGGAGAGAACAGATACTTAAGCCTAGAGGTTCCTGGTTAGTTATAAGAAAGGCTTTCCCAGCATTAAGTGTTGTTAGAGAGTCCGAAATGGATTAGTAGTGGAAGCTGTGAATTTTCTTTGAAAGACAGAGTGAATAAACAGACATAGATTAAAAGGAGATATTCTCTTTCCTACCAAAGATGAGAAAGTGGATCTGGTCACCCTCTAACTTTTCTTTCAGTTCCTGCCTTCTCAAATTGTACTCACACTAATAAGCAAATATAAAATTGTAGTTTATTGCCTTAAGAGGCATTATGAGAGGCTACTTACTACCATCTACACTTTGCACTCCAGTTAGTGAAGACTCACCTCCTGTTATGCCAACTAACTCCTCTATGTAGCTAGAAAGGACCTCAGACCTGTAATCAGATCCTGCCTCCCCTTACCAAAAGAAGAAAGAAACCGCAAATGGCAAAGACAGGCCTCCACAGGAAGTGGCAAAGGAAGCAGCTTTCAGGCAGTCTTCTATCATATCTGCATATCAAACACAGTTCTTTTTCAGACCTTTAATTAAAAAAAAAAAAACAACAAACTCCAAATGTATACAGTAAAAATCAATTTTAAGGTAGTATGTTGAGTGCTAATGCTAATGACACGTGTTCTCTAAGTTTTGTTTGTGTTGATCATTTCTTTCTAATCAAGTAGTTATTTTACAAATTGAAGCAGTGAATGAATATTACACTTTGGATCTTTTCCTATAAGTCTGTGGAATCACAAAGTGGAAAGTTGAATGAAATGCAGGTTGCCTATCATTTATTTTTCTAAAATTTGCAGAGCTATAGCTCTCTATTGTATAAGGAAGAAAATGAAACCTTAACTAATCTTTAAATTTTCTTCCTATTAAGATCAGAAATTGAAACTGTGAGATAAAGGTAATAAAGATCCTTCTGAATGAAGGCCAAATAATATGACACAGGCTCTGTTCAGATCATCTTGGTGAGGCAACAGCTCAATACTAAAGCTACAAGTCAGAAACAGAAATCAACATCTGGCATATTTAAAGCACTAGTGTCCACTGCATCTCACAATCCTCCTAGTGGCCAAATGGGGAACCAACCAGATGGTACCCAATGGGACTTCACACCTGAGGGATTAAGGGGAAAACATAAGCAAATACTCTTCCTCCCTCAAAAAAAGAAAGCCTGTGGGGTCGTGGACTCTTGAAAATAAGTAAGTTAATTAATTATGTAATTAATTAACAATAAAAAACTAGCACTAGCAGATAACATTCTTGACTGCACAACAAGATCTCAGAGGTTAAACAATTGTTTTATAGCAGTAAAAGCTAATAAAATCCATAGACACATTGCCGTAAAGTTCACTAACTCAGTTTTACTTTCAACACTGCCTCAGTTCCCAAGCCTGAATCTGAAACCGATACAAAAATGTAAATGGATAGCCCGAACATCACCATCTGGAAGAAAAACAGGATGGGAAGAAAGGTAACCGGTGAGATTCAGGTCTACAAGGGATTCTATTTAAAAAGGGAGGCAGTTTTGTCCATCTTTTGTTTTTTTTCGGTACACGGGCCTCTCACTGTTGTGGCCTCTCCCCTTGCGGAGCACAGGCTCCGGACGCGCAGGCTCAGCGGCCATGGCTCACGTGCCATGGCTCACGGCATGTGGGATCTTCCCGGACCGGGGCACGAACCCGTGTCCCCTGCATCGGCAGGCGGACTCTCAACCACTGCGCCACCAGAGAAGCCCAGTTTTGTCCATCTTTAGAATGTGGTTAAGAATACTTGGGAGCGGGGCCAACGTCTCCCCTTAACACTGTCCCTGCTCTCCCACAGGTGTTAGGTTGCAGCTTCCAGGACACACCACAGACTTTAGCAAGAAAATACGGGTGAAATCCAAGCTTTAAGAAAAGAGGGTGCACTCCCACCTCCAGCTCTGGTGCAGTTCCCACGGAGCAAAGTAAACTCGCCTGAATCCCCGGTATCTGTATCTGCCAAAAAGGAGAGGACAAGAAAGCTGGTCACGTAGCCGCCTCACAGTTCACCCTGTTCCCGGGTGTATAACCAGCCGAGACGGTCGTCCCTCTGGCTTCCTGAAGCATGAGCACAGGTAGATTCCCGGGAATTATCAGACAAGAGCCAGAGGTCTTCCGAGGCGGCTCAGACAAACCCTCAGACAATACAGTCTTCTCAGAAATCTAAATTTAGAAGCCCTTCTGCGAGAAGGCGACTCGGGACTGACACCCGGGTCGGCGCCCCCACGCCCATCCTCCCCTTCCCCCAGCTCCAGCCCAGCTTGTCAGACGCCCGGGCCGTCCCGGCGCTGCCCGGCTGAGCCCGACCTGGGCCCACGCGGGGAGGGCGGCGACGCGGACGCTCCTCCCGCGCCCGAGACCTCCAGAGGGACGGAAAGTGGAACAGCCGCTGTGGGGAGCCAGCCCGGTCCGGCCTCGTCGCGGGAACCCGGGGCAGGGGGAGGGTCAGAGCCAAGGCGGCCCCCGCCCCCCAGGCCAGAGCGAGCCCCTGTTCCCCTCCCCAGACACAGACTGACAAAAGGACCGACAGCCGGCGACCAAGGGAGGGGGCGAGGAGCCCCTGCATCCTCAGCCTGGTCCCGGAGGGAAAGAGTCGGGGGTCTTTTTACCCGGCGCCTTGGCGCTCCGCGGCGCTCCGGGTCCCTGGGCCCCGCCTCCGGACAGACGGACCCCCGGACAATGGGCCCTGGGCCGCAGCTCGGGCCGGCCGGGCCGGGGCTCTCCTGGACTGGGCCCCGGCTGGCAGAGGGCAGCTCCGGGCCGAGCTGGTGGCGGGGAGCCGAGGGGCGGCGCTGCAGACGGACAAAGCCAAAAGCAGACAGACAGACGGAGGGGGAAAAGATGGCGACGCGGGCGGCGGGAGCGCGCTGCTCGCGCACCCGCAGCGAGTGGGGCGCGTGCACGAGTCTCTCCTATCCCCTCCTCCCCCCTTCGCAAGCTTCGTCCCCCTCCCCGCTCCCCAGGCGCGCGCCCGGAGGCATGGGCGGGGCTTAAGGGGAGAGGGGTCCGGGGAGGCAGGACTTAAGGGAGCATCCAATCACAGACATTCGAGAGGGGCCTCGCCTTGTTTCTCGCGCCATGGAGACCACCGAGCCTCGCACCCTCCTAGGTCTTTTTCTGGTCCTGTCAACTCCTCAGCTCCCCTATGCTCTCCTGAACCTTTAAACTCTACCCTGACTGTCAGCTCTGATCCTGGTTTCCTACCCCACCTTCAAGTTCAGCCACAAAAGCCCACATCCCCCAACCACAGCTCCACCGCAGGCTCCCCCTCTCCTTAGCCCAACCTCTTCCCCTTCCCCCAACCCAAACCCTCTTCCCTTCATTTCCCCACATCTCACGGTTTCTTCGGTCCCCACGGCGTTTAATGTGACCGAGATCTAGGGGCCACGGACCTTTGTGGGAGGGGCTAAGTTCGGCTGTCAGAACCTCAGAGGAGAAAAATCTTTAGCTTCGTTTTAGACATGTAAGTCTCCAACATGATTCTCAACTAATAAAACAACAGTAGCTGTAGACCCTGGGGCATAGAATTAATTTAGAGAAGGGTAACTTGTGGCACTGTTGCCACTTAAGGGGCATTTGGGGCAATTGAAAGTGGTTAGACTCACTTCCTAATAAAACACCTCCTTCCCCTCTCATTGTCCCTTTCTATTTCCTCACCGCTTTCCTTCCTTTCCTCTAATTCTCTCGTCTTGTAGAATGCCTAAGCCTGCCTTTGACATAGCTCACTTGGAGAAGTAGGGCATGCGGTGGAAAGATGGAATCTGACATTAGAAGATCCAGCTTTGAGTCTGCAGCTGACCAGCCTGGTTACTTTGGGCAAGTCACTTCCCTATTCTGAATCCCTGCTTCCTAAAAATGTAAAATGGTTAATAATATAATAATTCCTGGTCTCTACTCTCATAGGGTTGTTGTGCTGATTAAGTAAAATGAATATATGAAAGAGTTATGTAAACATCCCTTATGATCACTGGCCCCACAACGGTGGAGCTAATGAGGATGCTGATCATTGCTTATAAAGCAACAAGTCTTGGTATTTGCATAAAGCGCTCTTGCAAAATGTCCTTTCCAGAAATCTCTAACGAGATGATATCATTGTCTGCATCTTGTGTTTAATGTGAGAGGATCTTGGTCCTTCACAATTCTGTGGTAAATGGCTCATTCATTCATTCATTCATTCTTTGTGGCTGGGATGTGAGGTAGGAATTATTCTTTTTTTAATAAATTTATTTTATTTATTTACTTTTGGCTGCGTTGGGTCTTCATTGCTGTGCACGGGCTTTCTCTAGTTGCGGCGAGCGCGGGCTACTCTTTGTTGCAGTGTGCAGGCTTCTCACTGCTGTGGCTTCTCTTGTTGTCAAGCACGGGCTCTAGGCGCACGGGCTTCAGTAGTTGTGGCTCGCGGGCTCTAGAGTGCAGGCCCAGTAGTTGTGGCGCACTGGCCTAGCCACTCCGTGGCATGTGGGATCCTCCCGGACCAGGTCTCTAACCCGTGTCCCCTGCATTGGCAGGTGGATTCTCAACCACTGCACCACCAGGGAAGCCCAAGGTAGGAATTATTATTGTTTAACTTCAGTTAAGGAAACTTTTAAATTTCATTTAAAATTTTAATTCTTGGGTAGGTAGCCAGAAAATGGAATATTCTCAACCAATCAGAAGGTTTTTAGTCAGTGTAAGAATGCAAGCTGGAATAAGCACTGGCTTTTGTACTTAACAGTAATTCTTGATGAGTTTAGACTGAGGGATACAAAGATGGCTTTATTATGTCACTTTAAAGTTGATGTAGTTGACATTTTCAACATGACAATAGCTAGCAGGTAAAGTATTAGGAGAGAGCCTCCAGTGAAATTTCTTGGCTTCATCAAATAATAATGTGTAATACTGGGCGTCTTGTTTCATCTCCTTGAGCTGCAAATAAAATGGGATCATAATAATGCTATTCTTAAAACCTTCATGTGTCCTAGAAATGCCTCTGAGGTGTTGTGATTCAGGGTTATAGTCAAATAAGGCAAAAATTATTAAATAAGGAATTAGTTTACTTTTGCTCTCACCTAAACTTGTTCTGGAGCTATAAGACTTTTTCTTTAATCATGGAATTTTTTCAGCTTCATTTTTTATTTCTACTTTTCCGGTCTACTCATGGATTTATGCAATTATTTTGCCATTTTAAGTATCTTAACTTTCCCTTGAAATATCCTCTGGTTTATATTTATTGGCTCCTACCAAGACCCTGTTAGGGCTTTACATTACAACAGTATTGGTAGGGTAATTTAAAGAGCTTCGCTTAAAGATTTATTATGATATAATTCACTTACCATGAAATTCACCCTTTTTTGTTTTTTTGGGTTTTTTTGCAGTACGTGGGCCTCTCACGGTTGTGGCCTCTCCCGTTGCGGAGTGCTCCGGACGCGCAGGCTCAGCGGCCATGGCTCATGGGCCTAGCCGCTCCGAGGCATGTGGGATCTTCCCGGACCGGGGCACGAATCCGTGTCCCCTGCATCGGCAGGCGGACTCTCAACCACTGCGCCACCAGGGAAGCCCATAAACTTTTGAGCTTATATTTAGAATCTAGAGTTATAAGTTTTCATTTCTTTGAATTCATTTAAGGAAAAATTACGTTTTCTAGGATGATTGCAATCATGATAAATGTCATGAAAAAAATCTGATTTGAGAACTCTCTTTTGATCTGATATGTGAACCCATATCAGATCAAATCACAGTTTATAACTGTGATTTAATGCATTTTTCTTTTTATTTGTTGATAAATTCAATATACACACATTGAAGGTAAAACAGGATGCAAATTATTATGGAAATATGGACATATGAAAATTATATCATGTCAAGTCTCAAGATCTGGGTTCAAGATCTGATCCTGGCATTTATTGCTGTTGATCTTGGATTGCTCACTTTACAGCTCTAAGCTTCACTTTCTTCCTGTAAAAACTAATAGACATTTCTGACCTACAGCTGCTTCACAGGAATGTTGTGAGCCTCAGACTGAGGTCATGTGCTTGTAGGTGCCCTGTAAATTGCAAAATGCCATGGAGATGTTTAATATTTGTATATAGCCCTAATTATTGATGTTAATAAGTTCTCTGAGGAATCATTTCATAGGTGCTCTAAAAAATGCTCTTGATTTTTTTCTAGGCCTTAGGAAGATATCCAGAGAAGTTTCTATTTCATTCTATAATTTCTAGACTAAAAGCTTTCTGAGACTTTCCCCTTTCTAAATGTTAGTACTTAAAAAAAAAAAAAAGGCAAATTACTCAATGCCCATCATCTTTCCCTTCTCTCTCACACAATGTGTAATACTTTCTTCTATTGCAGGAGTCCGAAACTTTTTCTGTAAAGGGTCCAATAGCAAATATTTGGCCCTTTACAAATAGGCTTTGTGGGCAATATAAGGGTTCTGTCACATGTTCTTCCCTTTTTTGGTTTTGTTTCTTTACAACCTGTTAACAATGTAAAAAAAACCATTCTTATCTGGAAGGGCTGTACAAAAACAGGCCTGACTAATTTTGTCCTACAGGCTTGTAAGACTCTTATATTATTGGGTTTAAATATTATATCAGGTTTTAGTTACAGCCACTAGTTATAATTGTGTACATAAAAAAGAGTTACTGGTTAGTTAACCAAAGAATGTTTTGTGTTAATTTTTATCCTAAGAGCAAAACAGGATTTTCAAGTGAAACAGTGTGAGCCAGTTTGTTTCTTTGGATTATGTTTAGCTTTGATTGAAACTGGTCTATTCAGCCAGGGATAGAGATACTGTTTTGAATAATTGGTTGGTTGTGGTACAGTTCACATTGATATGTTATCGGATCTAAATAACTAGATGGGACAGGACACAGGTGATGATTGCTGAATCCAAGAAACTACTGAGTTGGAAGCAATTTTTCTAAATGAATCATGTCATTTTTAGCAAGACATGGACTCAATGACACTTTTCACTCGTCTTTACTTTCATGGTTTGTTCGAGGGTGCAATAATGTCAAGGATTCCAAAAGTTATCTAAACACACTGTGTTACTGAGGGCATGGGGAAATAGAAACTCTCATACATTGGTGGTGGTGGTGTAAAACAATACTTCCTTGTTGTAGGGTGATTTGGCAATATCTATCAGCATTAAAGATATACCTACCCTGTCACCAGTTCTTCTGCTTCTAGGAATTTATACCCAATTTGTACAATCCATATAGGCAAATATCTAGTCATTGCAGCATTGTTTATATAGGCAAAATACTGGAAATAACCTAAATGCCATCAATAGAGCAGTACTTTAAAACAATGGTACACATATACAGTGGAATATTATGCAGCTCTTTAAAAGAATGAGAATTATTGATAACTACTGATATGAAAGTCTCCGAGATATGTATCTTAAAGCAAGTTATAGTACTAGACAAGTTACGCTATACAGTCAGCCTTCCATATCGGACAGTTCTACATCCATGCATTCAATCAACCTCGGATTGAAACCAGTGGGAAGGAAAATTCCAGAAAGTTCCAAAAAGCAAAAATTGAATTTTCTGCTCACTGGCAGCTATTTACATAGCATTTACGTTGTATTGGGATGATCTGAAGTATACTGGAGAATGTGCATAGGTTATACGCAAAAACTACAGCATTTTATGCAAGGGACTTGAGATTTTGGTATCCTTGGGGGATTCTGGAACCAATCCCTTGCTGATACTGAGAGACAACTGTAGTATGTATAGTATGCTACTATATGTGTAAAAAAAAGACATATTTATACATATAGTTATACATGC